CGGCGATGTACCCTAGAATGTTCACCCAAGAATTAGGGGTGAGTTGCCAAACGCCTAGGCCATATCCCCTAAGTATGGCCTTAATCGTGTTGTGAAGGGGGAAGCGGACACCGGCTAGGAAAGCCGCCTCATAGCATCCAAACCAACTGTTAGCGTTGGGTTGGTCATCCTCCCATACAACCGTCCCGAACTCGCCCGGTACGGACAACTTGTACCCTCCACCAAGCGGTCGCTTGGTAATAAAATCTATTAGAGAAGACCGCATGAGGGCCCGGTCTTTAAGAGAGACGGCGATCATGAGAGGGTCATTTCTGCTTTGCCATGAAGGCCTTTCCGCCTCCTCACTATCTTCAGACATGGTCAAGTAGCTAGAGCTACTGCTTTCTACGCGACTGTCATCAGAGCCGGATGGGGAGTTGGGACCCTCATTGACGGTTCCTGGCTGCTCAGCCTCCTGAGCAGGAGAGGTCTCCTCGTTGTAGGAGCCTAAAATACTATTGCTTGGGGTGGCGGGAGTGCCGCCGGATGGTTCTCTAGCCGCCTCGTCTGTGGCCCGTCTCTCAGGCGACAACTCATTTGAGTTTCCGCCTCTGTAATTGGGGTCCATAGCTGTTCCCCTAATTCTGGCCATCGTGTCCTGCACAGACACGAAGTCGGTCAATACAGGCGTTGAAAAGGGGAAATTCCAAAGATCAGAGGCGGCAGATCCAGTTCTAGACTCAGCCGTACTAATTGACCGGCTGAGTTCACAACTATGTTCCGGGTATGGGTATAAAGGGTCCATCTACCTATGGGACTGATAAACAAAAATGCAAGCAAAAGACGCAAACGGAAATACATGGAAAAGTGAAAAGGAATTGAGACGGTACCTAGAGTAGAAGAGATTGCTGAAACCTCAAGAAATTTCTTGGGGATGCTTGCAAAGACACAGACGGTTTGAAGACCGGCTGGGTTCTCTTGGATACCCTCACGAAAAACTTTTGCTTGCTTGCTACCTTACAGGCGGTCTGAAAACCGGCTGCTCTAAATTTTCAAATCTCCGTCTGCTCTGAATTTCAAGTATCGGATGCTCTCAAATGCCGGATGCTCTCAAAATTCAAGAAAATTCACGAAGTTTGTAAATGAGCTCTCGTGTGTGTCTCCCCCCTATTTATAGGGGTTGCCTCAGAAGGCGAAGGGACGCGACCCTTCCCCTTCTACTTTTCCCTCCTCTTTCAGTTAGAATTTGAAGAGGTTTCAAAAAAAAAAAAATGCATACGTCAGCTCTTTTCTCAGGCGCCACGTGGCACCCTGCCACGTCAGCACCTGAGAGGGGCAAATGTTTGGGGTAAAAATACCCCAGCCACGTGGCCTTATGGCAGAGCGACACGTGGTACCCCGCCATTGGTCAGCAGGGCTCCAATCCCCTGCTGACACGTGTCCCAGGAACCCTAAATGGGGAACCAAGTCTCCCCACTATAAATAGTGGGAGAATCCTCATTAATGGGGCATTCAATTCAGAATATTCAATACATTCATAAAGACTTACACAAAAACCGAGCAATATTAATTGCGGAATTCTCCCATTACGCGAGAAGTAATTTCACTATTTTACGCACTATCTTCCTCCCGTACGTAACTGACTTGATCGTCGGAGGCGGAGCTCCAACCAACCAGAGTCTTCGTGGTTTTGCAGGTACAGGCGGCGAAGGGCATTCTCGGAATTGTAACTCTCCCGCAGGACACATCAAAAAACCCCGAAACAAGTTTCGTTCTCATATCACTCTATATTCATTCCTAATTCTAAACGATTATCACATAAATTAGGCAACATGTAGAAATCCACTATCAATTATCTACGAGGATATTGCCAAGATATATCTAATATTAGGTGTGACTGGTAAGACTAACAACAGAATTGCTAATATGAATTAGGCATGACTTTGCATCATCTAACTAATGTCACACATTTTTGAGAAACTTCAGTGCACACGACGTATTGATTGACCTAGTTGCATTAAATTTACGAGTAATTTTAATACTTCGTATATTTAACTGAAAGCATTACATATGATGAATTCATCGTATCATAAAATTAAAGGTTAAAAAATCATAGTCAATCATCCTTGTGAAATTTGAATAATCATAGCCTATTAGGGTCATTAACTAGTCATCCAATTAAGATTTTTCAATAAAGATTCACAAGTCAATACTAGTAACTTGAATATTACCATATGATTATCCTTTGTTGATAAGTCATGGCTAGTGCCTAGATGATGCATGATTTATACGTCTTTTAAGTTCATGTAATCAGATGACATTGCAACAATTATGTCACGAAGTACTAGTAACTTTGCAAGAAATTTGTTGCTGTTTGTTAAGCCTAATGCCTTGTCTTTATTGTTTTGTTAAGATTAAAGGCTGACTCAAATTAGTAAATTATAAAGGAAAATTGGCTTAGAATAATACCAACTATCAACGGTGTGTGCAAAATAATACGAACTTTACTATTTGCTATTAGCGGTACCATCTTTTGTACTATGTGTGCAAAATAGTACGCCGGTCACCAGAAAAGTATCGCGAGGAATATTCTGTCTAATTATTATTATTATTATTATTATTATTATTATTATTATTATTATTATTATTATTATTATTTTGTTATTAATTTTCTGTTTTCTTTTCAAATTATATATTCTGTTAACAACTTCCTTTACAGTACCATCCAAATTAATAATACCCTACACCTTTGTTAGGTTTTTTTTTTTTTTTTTTTTTTTTGAATTGTCAATATGTATTAATTTTATTTTTTTTTTCAAAATACCTGTAGTAATTTTTACTACCACACAATAGTTAATAAGGTATTTAAATGCATTATTATTTTGATATAATTAGTTTCAAAAATTGTTTAAAAAATCCAAAAAAATTCCCCACATTATCTTGGTTGGTTAATGTGGGGAAATTTTTTATTTTTGAAACAACTTTTTAAACTAATCATATCAAATAGTAATCCATTTATATACCCTATATACTATTGAGTAATAGTAGAAATTACTACAGGTATTTTGAAAACAAAATATTTAAACACATATTGACAATTCACAAAAAAAAAAAAAAAAAAAAAAAAATATATATATATATATATATATATACAAAGAGGCGAGGCATTATTAATTTGGATTATAAAGAAAATTGTTAGCATAATATGTATTTTGAAAAGAAAACATAAAAGTAACAAAAAAATATATAAATATAGACGGAATATTCCTCGAAATAATTTTTGGGTGACTGGCGTACTATTTTGCACATATAATACAAAAGATGGTACCGCTAATATCAAATAGTTGAGTTCGTATTATTTTGCACTCACCGTTGATAGTTGATATTATTTTAAGCCAATTTTCAATTATAAATTCAAGAATCTATTGTAATTTTATATAGTTAAATGTGTTCTAATGAAATTTATGACCTATGTAATTAGGAGAAGATTTATTCGTGAATTAAATAATAATAATAATGATAGCGGTGGTGGTGGTTAAAAGTTTATAATAAATTTGAACCAGATTCAATAAGTTCCAATTACGTTCAATTAATTCAGATTAGGTCATTTCAAATAATTTCATGTCCAATTATGGATGTATTCTATCACTAAAAAAATGAAAATTGTATGTTGGTAGTTTGAAATGTGACTACCATAATATTTTAATGATTATGTACTCGTAGTTCTTAATTGACATATTTTTCTCGAAATTATAAATTATGTAGTTCTTAATTGGTATAAGATAGTATTATTAACATTTTTTTTATCTATCAAATTTTTAGATTTTGTAAATTTTATTCCTATTTTATAGTTTCTCGAAAGAAATTTATTTTATATTAGATTAAATTTTCAAAAATTATATTTGCATGGTAGATATTAGAAGACTAATTGGGTCCATATTATAATGTGAAATAATAAATTGATTATATTGTTTATCATTAAAATAATACTCCATCCATGTTTTAATAAGTGTTACACTTCCTTTTTTTGGCAAAAAGTTACATTTTAATATTATATCTCTCTCATTTCATGGTCCCCATCCAAACCCACTAATACTTTTTATTATTATTATTTCTCTCCTCTCACATTCATTACTTTTTAATAAATTATTAACCCCACTATCTTTCTTTTATAATTTTTTAATACTCCAACTATCCCACTTATACCTCTTATTTTATTTAAGTCAATTAAATTGCCTAAAACTATGTGTCAGTCAAAGTGTAACACTTATTAAAACACGGAGGGAGTATGGTACTCATATTTCGAACGTTCTTTGTAAAAACATCTTTTATAAAAGCAAATTAATCATGAACCTTTTTTTTTTTTTTTAACAAAAAGTGATGACTTAACATAGGCTTACAACTTTACACTACCACACGATAATCTTTCTTCAAAAGTCACCATTAACCATAACAAGGACATATAGTAAGTTATTCAATTAATTTTTAAAAGTGAATTATTTTGGGGCAATTGAAAAAGATATTAATATATATAGGGCTTTTAGGAGTAGGTTTTTTTATTGGGTTTTCTTGTATACTCCTAGTTAAACAAAGGTTGAAAATGAGTACCAAACATTTATACTTAGCAATTTAGTGTATAACAAAACCGATAAAGGTTATCATATGCAGGATACATTAATACTTGTAAAAGATTGAGTCAATATGACAACTAAATCAAAAAGGATGAAAAATCCTTATTTTTATCGATATCAAAACATAAAATAAGAAAGTGTTAGGAAGTTACCCCATATGAAAGGTACTAGGAAAGTATTGTATGAAACTAATTAGTGGAAAAAGCATTTAATTCATGAATGACATGCATAAGTATATACGGAGTATTCAGTATGAAGTTAACTGTAAAATACTTCGTAATACTATTATGAAATTAATCAATTAAAATATGTCACACCATGAAAATGGTAATTAATCTGCATTGTGAGAAAAAATATTCAAAAACGAGTAAAAAAAAAGATGAAAATTACTTTTTTTTTTTTAAAAAAGTGGGAAACTACGTTGAATCTTCTTAGAAAGCGTTACATGTGATTACTTCACTATTCACGTATCCTATATTTATAAACCAAGGAAACCAAGCCAAAATACAAACTTCCAAAGGTCATTCATCTCTCTCAGACTCTCAGTTGATTCTTTTTCCTTCATAACTATGGAATTACACCAACGTAAAACCACAAACCATTCCAACAACATCGACAACGATGACAAACCATTCATTCCAAAACCTAAAAAACTATGGAGTTTGCCATGCAACACAGTTTACTTCATTGTTGCACTATCCAAAAAAATCCTTACCAATAACACCCAACACACGAGAAGGGTTGTTGCCCGTTCTCGGTCCTACATTGTTGTTGATGTTGAATCTGATTCTAGTTCTATTATCCATGATGACGTTCAAGCAACATCGTCTTTTCCATTTGAAATAGGCCAAGAGATTCTTACGTCCATGACAAGGGAAAAGGACGTCGAATCTCTTTCGAAACTTGGTGGTGTAAAGCATCTTGCTTTTACGCTAGGAACCAACAATGCACTTGGTGTAAGTAGCACCAACACTACTGAACTTTTAAACAGAAAGACTGTATACGGGTCTAATGTTTTCCAAAAACCACCTAAAAAAGGCTTTCTAAGCTTTGTTATTGAAGCATTGAAAGACACCACAATCATCATACTATTTCTTTGTGCATGTCTCTCCCTTGTATTTGGCATTAAACAGCATGGCCCCAAAGAAGGGTGGTATGATGGCGGAAGCATCATCATTGCTATATTTCTCGTTGTTTCTGTTTCTGCCATTAGCAACTTCAAGCAGAGCCGACAGTTTGAAAAGCTCTCCAACGTTAGCAGCGACATACAGGTTGAAGTGTTGAGAGATGGTCATCGCCAGCATGTTTCCATCTCTGAAGTCGTTGTGGGTGATATCGTCTTTCTGAAGATAGGGGATCAAATTCCGGCTGATGGGTTATTCTTGGACGGCCACTCCCTGAAGCTGGACGAGTCAAGCATGACAGGAGAAAGTGATCATGTTGAGGTAAATGACAAAAATAACCCGTTTTTGTTCTCTGGTACAAAGGTCACAGATGGTTATGGGAGGATGCTGGTTACTTCAGTGGGTATGAACACTACATGGGGTGAGATGATGAGTTCCATAAGTCAGAATTTGGAAGAAGAGACTCCATTACAGAAACGCCTTAACAAGCTCACCTCATACATTGGTAAGGTCGGTCTTCTAGTTGCATCGCTAGTTCTTCTCGTCCTGTTGATTCGTTACTTCACAGGGCATACTAGAGATGAACATGGAAATCGAGAATACAATGGAAGGAAAACAAGAACAAACGATGTAATGAATGCAGTCATAGATATTGTTTCTGCTGCAGTAACCATTATAGTCGTTGCCATTCCTGAAGGTCTCCCATTAGCTGTGACATTAACCCTCGCATATTCAATGAAGAAGATGATGGGAGACAATGCCATGGTTAGGAAACTCTCAGCTTGTGAGACAATGGGGTCAGCCACTACCATATGTACTGACAAAACTGGTACTCTAACTCTTAACCAAATGAGTGTCACTGAATTCTGGCAGGGCAAAGAAGTTGTACAAAGGCCCTTTTCTTTGTCGAAGGATGTTCATGAATTACTTCATCAAGCTGTTGGCTTGAACACAACAGGAAGTGTCTGTCAAACACCTTCAGAATCAACTCCTGAGATATCCGGCAGTCCCACAGAGAAAGCAATCCTTAAATGGGCTGTTTGTGATTTGGAGATGGAGATAGGCATGCTGAACAAAAGCTTTGAGGTTCTGAAAGTTGAGACATTCAACTCAGAGAAAAAGAGAAGTGGGGTTATGGCTAGGATGATGAGTAGCAACAGAGTGCAAATACATTGGAAGGGAGCAGCAGAGATGATACTAGCCATGTGTTCGAGCTATTACGACCAAGGAGGGATGTCTGTGATGTTGGAGGAAGAAGATAAAGAATATTTCTGCGAAATTATTCAAAATATGGCAGCTCAAAGCCTAAGATGCATCGCTTTTGCTCACAAACAAGGGGAGGAGGACGGTGTCATGCAGCAGCTCGATGATAGTGGGCTCACTTTGTTGGGTATAGTTGGATTGAAGGACCCATGTCGACCTGGTGTTCTAGAAGCAGTAGAATCATGCAGGAAAGCAGGAGTTAGTGTCAAAATGATCACAGGAGACAATATTTTCACTGCAAAAGCGATAGCTACAGAATGCGGAATCCTCAGACCAGACGACCAACTACATGAAGAAGCTGTCATAGAAGGCGTAGAGTTCAGAAATTACTCACTTGAAGAAAGAATAGCTAAAATTGACAACATTCGAGTAATGGCAAGATCATCTCCATTCGACAAGCTTCTCATGGTCCAATGCCTGAAGCAGAAAGGCCATGTAGTGGCTGTGACAGGTGATGGTACAAATGACGCTCCAGCCCTTAAAGAAGCCGATATTGGATTATCAATGGGTATCCAGGGCACTGAAGTTGCAAAAGAGAGTTCCGATATTGTCATCCTAGATGACAACTTTGCTTCTGTTGTCACTGTCTTGAGGTGGGGTCGATGTGTGTACAACAATATCCAGAAGTTCATTCAGTTCCAGCTGACAGTAAATGTTGCTGCCCTTGTAATCAATTTTGTCGCTGCAGTTTCTTCGGGAAATGTTCCTCTAACTGCAGTCCAACTGCTCTGGGTGAACTTGATCATGGATACCTTGGGAGCATTAGCTTTGGCTACTGAAGAGCCAACTAACGATCTCATGAAGAAAAAACCAGTCGGAAGAACCGAGCCACTCATAACCAAAGTCATGTGGCGAAACCTCATTGCACAGGCATTTTATCAGATGGCTGTCTTGTTAACCCTACAGTTTAAGGGCCAGTCAATATTTGGAGTAGGGGAGAGACTGAAGGACACCCTCATATTCAACTGTTTCGTGCTCTGCCAAGTATTCAACGAGTTCAATGCAAGAAAGCTGGAGAAGAAGAACATATTTGAAGGTATTCATAAAAATAGGTTGTTTCTGGGGATAGTTGGAATGACTATTCTTCTTCAAGTGGTGATGGTGGAATTCCTCAAGAAATTTGCAGGTACTGAGAGGTTGAGCTGGGGTCAATGGAGTGCATGCATAGCAATTGCTGCAATCAGTTGGCCCATTGGTTGGCTTGTAAAATATATTCCAGTTTCCAGCACGCAGAATAATCTCTCAGCACGCAGTTAAAAGTCCTGCCAATGACCATAAAACATGCATCAGTCTCAATCAAATTATCAGTCCGAGTCTTTGTTATTTGTTAATACTTTATAGTCAGTTGATTTAGAATCATAAAACATCCAGATTCATGAATAAGAAGTCAATTTCTTGAATATACAATGCTACTACATTTCTTAACCTTCTAAGCTATTCCAATCCAATTTGATATTAGATGGAAGGTACATCCACATGAAGCGCCTACAACAATATATTTCCAAATATTTTAATTTACTTTTCAAACAAGGGGATGGTTTTTTAATTCCTGCATCCTAAAGCAAAGAATGTACACCAAGAGTTGATTATTGTTGTATCACAATTACACTAAGGTGCTTTATGATGCAACTTTGCAAGGAAAAGAAGGGGAAATTCTTCAACAATAGTAGGTTCAACTACTATACCATATGTAAGGCATCACTCTATGAAATAGTAAACAATAAGTACGTGATTCAGAGTCTTCTAAGACAGTTAGGGATACACATGGCTAGTATAAATAAAGAAAGATAAAATTTCAAAATTGGCATTCTGATATGCCTTTTCTTATTAGTTATCATCTTGCTAGCCCAACAATCGTTAAAAAAATTTAAAAAATAAAACCTCACAACCGATACGATCATGTCTGAAGTAAAGAAAATTATATCATAAATAATTTTTAAAATTTCATTAACACCAAAATACACCATTTTTAAAAAAATTGACTCCATCCAAAAGCAAATGAATCTTACCGGAAATACTCAACAGTCAACATTGAAGCCTAAAAATTCAATTTTCCACCCACTTTTTTACAATTTATTTCAAAGATTAAGTAGCCCCTAAGAATATTAGAATATTGATGGATCAGCATAAAATTTGTTGACTCAGTCCAATGGAAGAAACTCCTTGATGGCAAAGCTTGAATCTCTAGTCTTTAGAGCCCAAAACCAATATATTACATTTATGGAATTTCACCACAGTAGTACTAAAACCACATGGATCACCTATGTTTTGTACACAAATTACATAAAGCTGAAGATAAGTGACAAGGATCCTATTGTCCAAATGAAGTTTCTATACCACCAATTCCAAAATTCCAAAACACCTATCACTGTCCTTATTGTGAGGTGAAATAGACTACTATTACAACGGATGAATCCAGGTAGAAAGCATGCTAGACACACGCTATCCATATTACACAAAAAACAAATTTGAATGCCTCTCAAATTCTCAATATAAGCAAGCTCTGCTAACCAAAGTAATCGACCTGTCTCAGATACAATTCTCCTGTAAAACCTCTGACATATTTAGTTTATTGCTCTGTGAAGTGAAGCTTGAAGAGGGATAGCTCATTTATCAATTTTCACTAGTAGATTCAGATATTCTAGACACCATCATTCAACACCAACATCCTAAATGATTGATACTCACTTACCAGATAAGACAAGAAACCTTTTGCAGGTTGACTTGACATTCACAATCCTATTATTCTTATACTTAGTGACTGCATTTGACTGAAAATAACCTCAAAGCTAAAGCCAAAATCAAAAAGGGCCTTACAGCAGCACAAGAACAACTCATGGAGGCTTGAATAGGAGTGTGGGATATGTATGTATAAATGGGTTATGGTTAGGTGAAGCTGTTCTTACGTAGCTTTGAATTACGTTAAGTAAAACACCATATGCTTCTCACTATACCTAATACTCCATCTTTGTCTTCAAGAACATAAATCATTCAATATTTTTAATCTCTCACTAAACAGATCGTTACAAATAAAAATATAAAAATAAAAAAGACTGATTTCAATTTGAAAAGTCCAACTTATTTGGCTCATATGATGAGACACTCTAACTTATCAACATACGGTAGCACAGGCTAATAACATGAAGGAGAAGATGAATAGATAATGATGAATTTAACTAAGCATATTCAGAAATAAACAAGTTAGCCATGTCTTGAAGCCATGTGAGGATAAGCTCCTAGTAGAGGCTATCTCCTACACACATGTATGTAAATCCACGTCCATAACAGATCACTATATATTCCGGTTTGTCAAAAAAAAGCTCGTCCATTTTTTGTAAAAAGAAGATAAGCTCCTAGTAGAAGCTATTATCTAGACAAATGTGACTATGTTCCTATTTCTGCTGTTCAAAATCATTCCAATTTTCCCTTTCAGCCAACCTTTGTGATACAATCAGTATGCATTACAATCTATATATCAAAATTTAACATGTAGTGTAAGACTAACACTTTATTCATGATCTGCCCTTCCACAGGGTATGAAGGAAGAAATTAGATATCCAACTCATTGTTATAAGCGTGCCTTGTATCATGAGAAAAAGAGGAGAATGCTAGTGGCATTGGCGCTACGGGTTGAGAAACTCATTCAAGCTAACCCAAGTTACAACACCAGTGAGTGCGAGGATGGTAATATACTGTGGCTCGCCCACACCTTGCCCAGAGCTGGCTGAACCTTGCCAGTGGCAGCGCATGTGCATTTCCTCAATACGGTTTTGTTAATTTTGTTATGTTTCCTATTTTTACGGCTTGCTCATGTCAGCTACAACATTATTAGCTGCTCCGTACTAGGTTATTCCCTGGGAAATAATTTAGGGTACTATTAGAAATTCCATATACTAGTATTATAAAAGGAGCCATGATCATCAAATTAAGCCACATTAGAAAGACTCCATGTAAGTCTAAAAGCTCTCAAACCCCCCACTCGGCTACGTGTGAACTAGGTCTCATCGACTGAACCACATAAATTCTTGTGTCATCTGTTTCTTTTCTTTATTAAACGGCCTATATCATAGCAATTCCACATAAAAAAGAAATCCAAAATTCAGTTTAAATTCTATCAATAGCCAATTCTAATTAAAGCATAAATGGGAGTCTTGCAATACCTAATAATCCCTCCATTTTAAAATTGTAGGATCATTTGTTTAAGGTTAAAATTTGTTACCTTTACCCACTAAAATTAAAATTATCATAATTATTCCTATTGATAAAAAGTAGTAGTAAAAAATTAAAAATTATACTATCAAGCTTTGACCAAATGTCAAATTATACAATCACAATTTTATACAAGGACCATCAACCTTGGCAACAAAAAAAAAATGTCAATTTGCACAATTACACCCTCTCACAGTCTTCTCAATTCAAGGTCATACTGTTATATACTTCGTATATAATTTGCGGGATGCCCAACAACCAGATCAATAAAAACATATGATTGACATTTTCTGATTAGATAAAAAAACACAAAATTGGGCGAAATTAACCATTAAAGTAGCAAATTTTTATTTTTTTTAACTAATAAAACAGTAAAATATGAAGCCAATCAAAAAAAAAAAAAATTAATGAAATGAATAGAGAAAATAATCTGACCTTTTGATCATAACCGCAACTTAAGGAATTCGGGATTTCTACAATATCGCCGGAGAAGTGCAAGTTTTCTAAAAAAAGTAAAATGGTTTGCATGCCAGGAAAACCCTGGAAACACTACTCTGTTAATCTGGTTTTTTTTTTTTTTTTTTTTTTTTTTTTTTTTTTTTTTTTTGGTCTATATATATCTTTTCTTTTTTATACTCTTTTTGTTTCATAGTATTTTCTTTTTTGTAGGTAAACCAAAACACAATGTCTCTTCCTATCTAAATATTGTACTTTTGACATTATTAACCCTTTTTTATGAGTTGCCATTTTTTTTCCTTTTCTTTTTTTGTACTTTTAACATTAATTTTCAACCCTTTCGCTCTCTATCTATTCAATTATTCCCAACTACTTTTTCTTTCTCTCTATCTCTCTCTAACCCCACATACACATATGTACTTTTAATCATTAATTTTAAAGAATTTACAACGTTCTTAATTTTCGCGTAAAAACCCAAAGAGGTTTTGTATTATGAGACGGAGGGAGTATAAGTTTAGGAATGCATGACAAAATCACGCGCAAATCAGTGTAATTAATGAATATACTTCCTCTATTTATTTTTAGTTGACACGTTTATTTAGTCACGTTTGCCAATGCACAAATTCAACCGTTTATTTTAATTACCAATAAGCAAAAATTATAAAAAGTTGATATTTTTGAAAATATATACCGTGACGAATCTATGAAGACCCTACATGACTATATTTTTCATTACGTATAATCACAAAAAACGGTCAAAAAGAAGTATGAATAGTGCTAAAGTCAAAACGTGTCAACTTATAAAAACGGAGGTAGTATTCAATTAATATTTTCCTCTTTTAACTTCTTATACATAGCCAGTGGCGGATCCAGGATTTCCGAGATAGTGTGTCACCATCAATTATTGATCATTTGGGAAAGTACAATTTTTTTTTCCATGTCTTGTTCATAATTAATTTCAATCCAAAAATTATATATATATATATATATATATATATATATATTTCACCAAATTGATTTCAATCCAAAAATAGGACACAAAAATTCATACCACAACCAAATACAGTACTTAAGAATTCAATTTTACAAGTCGAAAATATTACAAATAACATGTTATAAACAAATGGTACAATAAAATTATTATATTGAATTAACTTTATGATTTTTTAGTTAATTGATAAGCTTTATGGGGAAATATTAAAACTGGTTGTACAAATATAAGATATAAAAAGGGAAAAAAAATTATTAAAAAATTATACAAAAAAAAGTGAGATAACTTAAGAGACCAGTTATTAAATATAACTGGTCTCTTTAATGAAAAAAAGTAGCGCAAGAAAATTGCGAAATGCAATAGCAGCATCAAAGAGACCTCTTATATAAATAACAGGTCTCTTTAATATTTAAAAAAAACCACATTAAGTCTTTTGAAGCAATAGCAGCATAAAAGAGATCGCAGAGGTCTCTTTAATATTGTTTGTTGTTACCAATAGCAGCATCAAAGAGACCACCTATCTATAATAAGGGGTCTCTTTGATATTTTATTTTTAAAAAAATACTGTGTCACCAGACCCACTATGACTAAAGATGGATCCGCCCCTGTACATAGCTCTTAGGGCTACATATAGCATTTTCCTATTTTTATTTCTTTTCTTTTTTTTTTACAAATTGATTTCTTTCTACTTCGTTCTTTTTTTTTAATTTTTCTAAAAAAAAAAAACAAAAATCTTTTAACGTTCTTTTTTTAATATACCTATGTGCATTGTTAAAACAAAAATAAATTCCCTATGTGCATCGGTTTAAAAACAAATTCCGATCCCCAAATAATGTCCATGTAGGATCGGTGTTGGGCGTCATTTCTTGATTTGTTTTAGCTTAAAACCGCAAAGAGCAATAGCGGTTGTAGCTTTAAAACCGCTATTACATTTAACGATTTTAAAAAAGAGACCGCCTTTTACTATTAACAGGTTTCTTTGCCTCCTTAATTAAATCGCCAAAAGCAGGAAAGAGAGCGCCAACATTAATATTGCTTAAAGAGACCATATTTCAGTAATAATCAGTCTCTTTGCCTTTTAAAAAAAAAAAGATATAAACCGCTAATATTGTTAACGGTTTTAACATAAAATCGTTGACGTCATTAGCGGTTTTAAGCTAAACCAAATACCAATATTACATGGATGACACTTTGGGTATTTGTTTTTAAATTGGTGCATAATGGGATTTTTTTTTTCTCAACAATATTGAGGGAAAATCGCTCTTTAATTTGAAGTACTAAGTATTCTAAATATAGATGTGCCTAAAAATTGTCATTTACTCGACCACAAAGACTCGACACAAGACCCAAATTTGACTTGAATAAGATAATCTTAAATCTAAATTAAGTTGAGTCATAGCTTGAATTAACCGATCCAAACTAATTTCGGCCCAAAAAAAGTTCAAACTCAACATCTATCCGAAACCGAATCGATCCAATCCAAACCCAAATTGACCTGATTCGAAATTAACTCATAGTAACCCAACCCTAAATCAACCCAAATCAAAGTTAACCTAACCTGAAAATTGACTCGATCCAAAATCAACTTCAATTGAAATTGATCCAAATAATTTGAAATTTTTAATCATTAATTATGGAGTTTAACATTTCTTTATTTAAACTTATTTAAATTGATTTTTTATAAATCAAGTCAAAATAAATCAAGGATTTAGGAAGGAGGAAGGATATGAAATATATAGATTTGCATGAGGATGAAGCATTGGATCGTAAGGGATGGAGGAGGAAGATTTATGTCGATGACTACATGGAATAATCAAATTTGGTTTATGTAGCCGACCCCACTTATGGAATTAAAGCTTTGATTGATTGATTGAAGTCAAAATAAATCAAGTATAATTCATACACTAGTATAAAAAATTAAATAGGCACCCCCCTATAGCACCGGTTCATGAAAACCGGTGCCAACTAAAACGAGCGTGAGTTAAAATTTCAGAGTTGGCACCGGTTCTTACTTGAACCGGTGCCAATTACGCTAATTAGCACCGGTTCAAATCGGTGCCAACTGTATTTTTTTTAAAAAAAAAACAAAAAAGAATAGAGTTTGCTCTGGTTAACCTGTGCCAACTGATTAATTTTTTTTTTTAAAAAAAGAAAAAGAATAGAGTTCGCACCGGTGCCAACTGATTATTTAAAAAAAAAAAAAAAAACGAGTTTAAAACAAAGCTATATATGCCGAGTTTCTGGGTTTTAACAACTTCATTTCTTCTTCAGTTTATTTGTCATTCTCTCTCTTAGCTCTCTGAAATTCCTTATCTCTGAAATCTGAATGCATGCATGCCTCTCTCCTTCAATTCCTTATCTCTGATCTCATCTCTGTTCTTCTCTCTCCAACCAAGCACAATAGCCAACACAACAACCAAGCCTCTCTCCGTCAAATTTGAGGTTAGGGTTTCGGGGTTTTGGGTTTTTCACAATTTTGGCTGGGTTTTTCATGATTTCTGGGTTTTTCACGATTTCTGGGTTTTTCACGATTCTAGGTTTATGGGTTTTGTGGGTTGAATCTGTGAGGGTGTTTTTGTGCGAAATCGTTTGTTTTTAAGGGGTTTATTTGATCGAGTTTTGTTCGATTTTTTGGGTTTATTTGTCAATTTTTTTTCGATTTGTTTGGGGTTTATTTGTTCTATTTATTTTTTGTTTTTTTGGTTGAATTTATCTGGGTTAATCGTTCGTTTTTAAGGGGTTTATTTGATCGATTTTTGTTCGTTTTTTTGGGTTTATTTCTTCGAATTGTTTTCGATTTTTTGGGGTTTATTTGTTCTATTTATTTTTTGTTTTTTTGGTTGAATTTATCTGGGTTAATCGTTCGTTTTTAATGGGTTTAATTGATCGATTTGTGTTCGATTTTTTGGGTTCAATTGTTCGATTGTATTTCGATTTGTTTGGGTTTATTTGTTCTATTTATATTTTGTTTTTTTGGTTGAATTTATCTGGGTTGAATCTTAGTGCATTGTTCGATTTTTTGGGGTTATTTGTTCGATTTTTTTGGTTAATTTGTTCTATTGATTTCCGATTTTTTTGGGGTTTTTTTGTTCGATTTTGTGGGTTTATTTGTTCGATTTTTGTTGAATTTATCTAATTTTATTGTTTCAATTGATGCAGATTTGAAGGACGTGAATTTGCTGAGTTGATGTTCGAAGTTTCTGGGTTTTGGATTGTAATTTATTTTTCATCAATTTTTCTGTTTTTTTTAATAAACTGTAAAAAAAACAATTTATTTTGATGAATATAGCCTTAGCTTGTTCGATTTCAAGTTTTGGATTGAATGTATAAATTGGATTGATGAATAAATGTTATGCTGAAATTTTTTTTTTTTACTGTTTGAAGGCATATTTGGCACCGGTTAACCGGTGCCAATTGAAGTTTAAATTAAAAAAAAAAAAAAAACAGCGCGCATTAATATTTCGCACCGGTTAACCGGTGCCAAAGTGTGTAGTTAGCACCGGTTAACCGGTGCCAATTGCTTTAGTTGGCACCGGTTTTGAACCGGTGCCAAATTTTTGGGGATTTGGCACCCCTTAAATCCCCAACGGTTCAAAACCGGTGCCTTAGGGGGGTTTGAACCGGTGCCAAATTAGTTTTTTCGTCTAGTGATAAATGCATAACAAAATTTATGCTGTATATTTTCGGAAACGATACACATAGTCTATGTGTACCCCACATAAATAAGTGATTTGCTCAATTTCTATTGGCTAAAACTTTTGGCCCCACCTCAAAGGTTCTGTAAATTTCAGTTTAAAACATTTTGGAATTCTATTTGAAATTTAAATTTGAATTTTGAATTTTATGGGAACGACAACATTCCCACCATTGTTAACCTTCTTTTACTTTAGACGAATTCGATTGAAATTTCTCCCACTAATTTTACTAAAAGTGGACAACAATAACGACATGAACTAACATCGCAAGGGCAAAAGCCTGTCATTGAAGGTGAGAATCGAACTTGCAAAGAAGAAGAAGCAATAGCCATGGTTTTTTTAATTTTTTTTATTTTTTTTTTTTTTTTGTAATTTTTGGTAATTGTTTATTTGTAATTTAGTAATTGTTACCCTCTCCTTGACGTAAAATATTTAATAATTTGTTTATTTGTAATTTTTTAGTATCAAATATGGATATATAATGGTAGAATATACCAAGATTCCAAGAAAATTGTTTATTGGTTATTGAAGATATGCAATGACAATCATGATCAAGAAGTGTTTTATCTTAAAATCCTGGATAAGTTATTAAGATGAGACCTATAACTAATTACTCTATGTGAGTGCCCACATAGACAACCACTTAGGGATTGACAACTACTCATGTCAAGATACTCACTTGCATCATTGCCTTGAAAATGTCTTCTTGGTAAGTTGGTGTGTTGATACTACCTTGATAATAATTTCATTGATTAGGTTGCTTCACACCAAAACATTTCACATACCATTTAATGCCATACAATTGCAAGTTATTTCGAAAAAAACACGTTTTTTACATATTAACATAGTGACTCAATCTTGAAAACCAAAAATTTTCACATGAAAGTAGTATTTTCGAAGAAAAACACAAATTTTAGTATGACACTACAATACTTCATCACTCTACTTATCAAATTACACTTAAATTTACTACCATAATAAATTATTTGTATCAAATAATTAAGGATAATTTGTTAATTACCACCCAAAAATGGATCCATTTTTGAAATAACCACCCATTTAATTTTTATTTTTATTTTACCACCCCTTAAATTAAATAACCGCTCAGATTACCACCTTTTTCAAATTTCCGGTGAAGTTTCCGACATTGGGCCCCACTTTTTTTTTATTTCCTTCCTTTTTTTTCTTCTATTCTCTCGATTTCCCTCTCTCTCACCTCGATTTTTTCTCCCTCCATTCTTCCTACCTTCTTCAACCTTCTTCCTACCTTCCATTTCAAGCTCACTTCCAAATTCTTCCTCTTCTTCTTCATCTACAATTCCCCACCGGTAGCACCACCCACCAATTTCCTAGACAACCACCATAATCTACCTCACCGCCCTTAACATACACCACTAGCCACTACAATCTACCCCACCACCCTCAACACACCCCACCGACCACCGCCTTCAACTTCACTGCCCTCCACACATATCTCACCGCCTTCAACTTCAAATTGCAGATATCAAATTAGCCGACCCTACTGATTTTCTTGTTGTTGCTATTATTGTTGTATTTAGGGTTGAAATTAGGGTAAATTACTACAGAATTGTCCTACAAATTAATCAGAAAATAAAACTTTGCAATTAAATTTGGGGGAAATTAGGTTGATATCAATTGAATTGGGGCTTTGTATGCTGAAATTGACGGGCTGATGCTTATCTTAATTGAAGTGGGCTGGTTGTGATTTGTGATTGGTGCTGCCGTGAGGAGCTTCTGTTGGTGGCGAATGGTGGCGAGTGCGGCTATATTATTGTTGGGTTGCCGCCAATTGCGGTCGTTGTTGTGGTGTTTGTGATTGTGGAGCGGATGATATGTGAGTCAAATCGGAGCAGCGCAACTGATTGCGCTTCTTGCGGTGGCTAGTGTGGCTATGCGAGGTGGAGGAGATGGGTGGGTTGGTGTTGTTTGCGTGAGGATGGATGTTGCGAGGTGAAGCTGGGGGCTGTTTTGAGAAATGGCGAGTAATCTGGTTTCTATTGCTGTTCTTGAGCCACTGTTGGGCTCCACTACCAATACTTACCATCCTACTTTTAATTTGCTTTTAGTTGTTCTTTTCTTTACTGTTTTCGGGAGTAGCAGGCTCCATGATTTGCATTTTTCAAGCTCTAAGCAAACATGAAAGCCCATTTGGTCACAAACATTACTTGAGCAAGGAGTTTGATAAAAAAAAAATTCAGAAGAAAAATGGAGAAAAATGGAGGAGAGAGAAAGTGGGGGAAGGGGGAGAAGAAGAATTTGTCAGAAGGTTAGAGAAAAATGAAGGATTGAAGGTTGAAGAAGGTAGGAAGATCGAGAGAGAAAAAATTGAGGGAAAAAATGAAAATATGGGGAAAAATTTTAAATTATCACTTGTTAGGTGGGGCCCACAAACGGAAAACCACCGAAATTTTGAAATGGGCGGTAATCTGAGTGATTATTTAATTTAAGGGGTGGTAATTTAAAATAAAAAATTAAAAGGATGGTTAGTTCAAAAACAGATACATTTTTGGGTGGTAATTTACAAATTATTCAATAATTAATCATATTTTGTAATCAGCTACCAAAACGACTCAACAGACCAAAGCAAACAAAAACTGCGTGTTCGTGTCACATAACCTAGACGTACCACATACGTTACGCCCTACAAAAAGTACCAAAATCCCTTGTCAAAAATCAAACAAGATATCCCCTACATATTCAGTCCCTTTTCCCCCCTCTTCTCACAAAATCCTCTCCTACTTTTCTTTATCAGTCAGTCCACCACTTTCCTTCCTTCCTCTGCCGCAACCTTCCCCCTACTCTCTCTCTCCTCAACAATGTCCGACGGAGCCTTACAAGTTCTCGACGGCACTCACCTCCTCGCCGCCGATACTTCACTGCCGGAAGAACTTTCCGGCGACATCGCCGCCGATCGTGTTCTTCAAATCGCCGAGTCTAGAGCTTCCGGCTGTCTCTACTCTCTCTCGTTGCCGGAGTTTCTCAAATCATCTGCTCTTAAACGACTTAATTATGATGTTCGAGGTCAAGTGATTGATAGTGCAAAAGCTGAGCGTCTTCTTCGTGATTACATCTCTGCGATCGCCGATGAATTGCGAGGTACTTTTTTTTTCATTATCTTGCGATTAATTGTTCAATTCTAACTTTTGATCAGTTCAAAATTGGTTGTTTGATGAAGTAGATCGTTTGAAATTTGCTCTCTACTTGATTTTGAATTATTTTATTATTTTTTTTTTCTGGAATAGTAGCTATTAATTTTTTAAAATAACTGTTTAAATTTTTAAATGACAACGATGATTTTCGGATTTACATTTTTTGATTTTAAATGCATTTTTTAAATCCTTTGCTTGTTTTAATATCATTTTTTTTTTTTGATTGAGGAATAAACCAAAGTTGACTAAAACTTGAATTGAATTAAACGTTTGGCATAAAATAGAATAGTTTGCAATTTGATTGAAAATTGCAATTAAATCGGTCAGCATTATAGTGCTCCTTAAATTGAGGAAATTGGAATCCATTATCCTCAAAATGACCATTGACTAAGTCCGACATTGCAAAAATTTAATTAATATTTTGCTATCCAGATTTTCCTGATCACTGTCCATGCAGCATTCTTATCAATTAATGATTATTGCAGTAAAATATCGAGTTATAATAATGTTACGGTTTGTTATTCGTTTTTTCGGATCTGAATTTTAGCTTCAATATGGTTTATACTAAATTACTAAGCATTGGACTCATAGACTGTGATTTGAGTGTGTTATGCGATGTTTGAGGATGAAATCATAGAATGTGCTTGTAATCACCAGTAGATCCTATTGGCTGAATTTGTTCTCTCATATATCTAATTTATGCAATGTTCGATTTTGCATGGAGGATTGTTAAGGGTGTAAATGATCCAATGTGCTATCACATACATGATTATCTTGAATTCAAACTTGATCTTAAAACTCATTTGCTAAGCACATAAACAAAAATAAAAGACAGATTTCCAACTTGTATATAGGAGCCAATCTTGAACGCTGCCGCATTTTGCTTGCTTACATTTTTTAACACCTCAATATTTAATTCAATGACAGTCTGATTCTTACTGTATAATTTAATTGATTTGATCTTCCGTTAGCTAGTCTAGAATTAAATAAGCATTCTTCTCATATATATATATATATATATATATATATTTATATATATATATATATATATATATATATATGTATGTATATATATTTCATAGTTGTTTAGTGATTTCTATATTGCTGTTTTTTATTGAAAAGTTTGAAATGTTCATCTAGTAAATAAATAAGCTTAGATATAAAAGTTGAACAGAGTCAAAGTTCGATTAAAACTTCAATAAATGAGCACAGAAATTCTGTTGCTTGACTCTTTTCATGTACAATTCTACTGGTTATTATCTTACACTTCATATTTTTCTGTTTATTTATTCCAAGTTTCTGATCAAATGATCGAGTTTCTCTTTTATCTGTGCAGATGAACCAATTGTAGTATCAGTTCTGGATGGAAACACCATTTGTCTCTTTTTGGAGGACGAAGATGATTTTGCTATGTTGGCTGAGAATCTGTTCACCGACTTGGATGCAGAAGATGAGGGGAAGCTAAGCAAGAGTGAAATACAGAATGCCATAGTTAATATGGGAGTTGAGATGGGTGTTCCTCCACTTTCAGGTCTGCTTTCATGCCTTAGCAAAATACTTCAGCTTACTTTTTTTAGATGCTTTCGACATTTTTATTATTAGATAACTGCATTATATGTTTGGCCTGGTATATGAACCTTAGTTTTGCTTCCATTTTATGAAACTAACTAAATTTCTGTATCCCACCATGGAATCAGAATTTCATTGTATTCATATTTATTTAACATGAACCTAATAAGAAATTCCTTCGCCAAGGCTCTAGTTGACATCTAATTTATCAGTAGAGTTTGATGCCTTATGCTCATAAGAATGGCCTGGTGTAACTCTAAATGTTTAGTGTTTCAAATAATATATTGACATAATTTTGTATGTGTTGAATTTTATTTTATTTTAACTTATAACTTACTTCCTCCATTTCATATTATTTGACATGATTTGCGAAGATATGATTTCAAATATCAATATCTTCAATCATTAATAGGCAAATATTTTAAATTGTTGATGTTCGAAATATATACACTGAGAGAATTTAACAAAACCCTATATGACTATGATGTTTTTCAAGTATAAATCACAAAATGATGTCTAGTTAAAATATGTGAATAGTGCCAAAGTTAATACGTGTCAACTAATGAGAAATGGAGGACGTATATCTTTTGGCATCTTTGAAATACCAATTACTGCAAATAACATACTTCGTATATTGAAACAAAATTTCCATATTATAGAAAATCTTGGTAAATTTACTTATCTTGGGTAGTTTGAATATCGAGTTCAGAAAATAGTTTTGAATTTTAGAAAAGGAAATATACTTACTCAACTATGGAGGCTTTTCTATAATGCTACTAACTCAACTATAGTTTGTTGCTGATGATAAGAATGCACATCACTTCTGCTCTGTTGCAATCTATAATCCTCTTTTATAAGAAATATCTATTGTTTCATTTTTGCTGACTTTTAGAAAAAGTCACACTATTCAAATAGAAAAGGGAGAAGGCAGAAGCAAGTGGGTAAAACAAAGGTACAAATGGACAGGTAAAGGGTAAAAGCTATCGAAAGAGGATGCAGGCCAACTAAAATGAAAATTCCTGTAAAGAAATGCATTTCATCTAAAATAAGATTGGAGGTAGTAAACATTTGAGTTGCAGTACTTACAAATAGTTTTGAAGAATTTAGAAAAGGAAATATACTTGAAAATAGTTTTCTTGGAGGCTTTTCTATATAATGTTGCTTACTTGACTATAATTTGTTGCTGATGATAAGAATGCACACCTGCTTCTATTCTGTTGTAATCTATTCTTTTATAAGAAACATCTATTGTTTCATTTTACCTGACTATTAGAAATAGGCACACAATTTAAGGAGAGAAGGGAGAAGGCAAAAGCAAGTGGGTAAAACAAAGGTACAAGTGGAAATGTAAAGGGTAAATGCTATCTAAAAAAGAAACATGCCAATTATAATGAAAATTCCTATCAAGAGGAATACATTTCAACTAAAATAATATGGAGGTAGTACAAATTGAATTGCAGTACTATTATATCTACTAGGACATCGTATGCTGTAAAATAACATATAAGTATCTACGCCAGATTTTTATCTCTCTCTTTTTTTTTTCCTCTCATATATCAGATTAACATGTTATGTCTCCATGTTTTGCCATTGTCAATGTGCCAGAAATCTCGGTGCCTTTAAAATTTTCAAACTGTCTGTAATCTTCATCAAATCGTTGAACAGATTTTCCAATGGCAAATGACATATTGAAGAAACATGGAGCTGAAGGAGAGGAAAAATTAGGCCAAGCACAATTTGCACAACTACTTCAGCCTATTTTGCAGGAATTGGCAGATGCTTTGGCTCTAGAACCTGTCACTGTCATACAAAATATCAAGATAACGAATGGTTCTAAGCTAAGAAAGGTAGTTTTCTGTCTCCTTGTCTATTTATAATTAGGTTTTTTATCAGATGATATCATCCCTTCAATGTACAGTCCAAAAAATTATCACTAATTACCAAGTCATTGTTCCCTTTTTCTATGTGGCCTACTGATCTTGCCCTTCAACAGTAGATGACATTGTTAGACACTTGATTAGGAAGTAATCATTTGGCCTTTCTGTCTTGCTAACTTCATCAGACGTATTTTAAAAAAGGGGTAAAAGAAAGAGATGTTCATCTACATTCTGTGCTACATACACTGTATTTTTAAAAGCCAACAAACATGATCTAACTATGACACCTGTCATCAGTCCCTCTGAACATGCAAGGCAAACTCAGATTAACAAATTGCATTAAAGCAACATATATACGAATGATGAATGGTCCAAAACTTTAAATGGATAATGAGTCCTATGCAATATGTCGTCCTAATTTTCTTCCTTATCACCCTTGTAAATACAAAAACGTAGTTTTGAAGTCTCTACTAGACATTTGTGATACAATGCTTCTCAGTAATGACTATGATAGTGGATAGGGTTCTGATTGCAAAAAGTTTATCCTGGATGGCATCATTTTATTTATTTATTGTTTCTCCATCCAAAAGCCTAATTGCTTGGTAATCTGAAAAGTTTGAGTTAACATTGCAGCTCTTGGCCGACAAGAACCAATTAGATAATGTAACAGAGAAGATGTACCAGCAAACTAATGATTGTCAGAAAGAGCAAGGTTGTGCAGAAGTAATTAGGAGCTACCTCGAGAAGAACGGGAATGAGTTAGGATTACCTCCCTTAGAAGCCAATGAAACAGTTATTCTTCTGTATGATGCAATATTTTCTGACATAGATAACAAAATGAGAGCCAAGGATATGAAGAAAAACGAACTGGGGGATCTTGTGAGGCAGATTCTCGAGAACTTTGCAGCAGAGTTACAAGCCAATCCTGTTTTCCATGATGTTGTCAATTGAGTTGGAAAGCTAGGGAGCTTTATGGTTTTATGATGTGTGCATGTATACTGGATGTTTTAAATCCCATATTACTATGATGAATAAGATTGGGTCTCATGTATAGAGTAATATACTAGTTTCCACCCTTAATCTGGAAGATTGTGTCAAGAATTTCTGCAAGACTGCAGCGAATTGAGTGATTGGCCAATCGGTCTCCCTAACAACTGCGATTGTGTATATGGACAATTGGACAATACGGTTGCCTCTTATCAGAGTAAAAGTTCTGCTTTGTTTTCATTCGTATTTCTATGTGACGGTTCATTTAAATTGCACACGCGCATGCTCCTTCAATAGACATGAACAGGATTGCTTGTCTCTTAACAGTTTTGGATTGATCTTAGAGAATTATAGACTAGCGTTGATTGCGGAGCAACAGGCAATGTAATAAGTTGGCCAGTTCCAAACTTCTGACCAATAAAAAGAGGAAATACAAGTTTATCTTCGTGAATTTGTTTATCATGGGGACAAAAGTGTAATTTTTGCAGTAAAAATGGGCAAAATCGCTACCTTGCCTTAAAACCGCTACTTTTCCCCCCCAAAACCACTACTTGAAGTAGCAGTTTGCTCAAAGCGGTTTTACTCCGTAATAAACGAATTTTGTTTATCACGGAAATTAACTAGGGCAGTGTCAAATGAAAGTGATAATGAATGGTAGCATGGAACAATGAACTATCATAGATCCTGCCATGTTCTCGACACGGAGTAAAAGAATTTCCACCATATTTAAAGTCCAGGGAAGTCGAATATATAGTGCTACTGCTACCATTAACCAAAAGTCCAAAACTACAAAGAGACTTCTTGCAAAAAGCTACTCGTAACTGATACTGTATTTTACTAGCATTTCAGATGCCGCAATATGTCATCTACATTTGATGAAAAACTGATATACATAAGGTACCGCTACAACTTTGTGCAATAATCATCCAAAAAAAAAATTTCACAATAGCCAATGCATGTTACTATGTTAGTATAAGCTTCTAAAACATTCAGCCAAGGAAACTACTCATCATCACTCTCATCACTGTACGAAACAAGACCACTCTTCAACATATCAGGGATGTTTACCCCATTGGATTCAGAATTCTTTAACTGCTCTTGAGGCTTCTCTACATTGATACTAGGCGTTCTTTGCTGGTCTGAATGCCTTTGAAACTCAGCAGAAGGCTTTTCAGCAGCTCTGGATTTTGGTTCCCGTGAGGGCTCCACTTTAGCTTTCTTTTGTGGCTTAGCTTTTATGATCATTCCCAAGGGCTGAACAGGACGACTTTTCTTTTTCGTAATATCTTTTTTCTCCTGCGGGTAACATTCATTATTGAGTGAACAAAGCAAAATTGTCGCAAGACAAATTTCAATTCTAGTTCCAGGCTTAGAGAAATAACCTCTGCCCTTCAATCTGTAAGATTTGTTCGCGTAAAAACGCTGCGAGACAAATTTCAATTTGAACTATCCTATTTACAAGTAGCATTTTCAAAATTTCCCAAAACATCATCCATAGTTCCATGCCACTGTGGACTTGGTGACATTAGACAACTCCAGCTATTTGACCAAAGAGTAATCCCTCCATTCTTGGTATATTCTGGTAGACATTTTAAACTGCCACTGATCAGTGATCAAGTTCAACTAAAGTGAGAATCTTCTAGGCCCTATATTTGATAAGGGTTTATTTGGGAACGTATGTTTTTTATTGCATTGTGCACTAATTAATTTATATTCCTAAAAAGAGTTCTCTTCTTATAATGAACAGAAATATTAAAACAGTAGGATCGTAATAGTTCTTTTCTTTTAATAAACAGAAATATTAAACAATAGTACTGTAAGAGTAGTTGATATATGATACAAATAGGACTAACAATCAATGAATATATTACTCCTGTCCGCAAATCCTCATTAAAAGTTAATATATGACACGAAGTAACTTATAATGAACATAATTCAATGGAGAGGGGAATTGTTACCCTCCATTTGGGGCAATACATTACCCTGGTGTGGTGGTAGGAAACTATTTCAGCTAAAATGAGGGTAATAAACTTCCTCCTTTATAATCACTGCACCATTCCATCTACTACCACCAGGCCACCATTTACGATATTATTTCTTTTAACCTCAATCCAAGCACACCCCTAAATTTTTATTAGAAGCAAGCAAACCCTCCATCTGTTGTTTAATCAAAACGAAAGCATGGGGAACACAGGTTGATTTTTTATGCCTATATAATTATTTCTGCAATCAAACATGGTACAGATTTATTTTAATCCAAACCCACACTGCAAAACCATCAGGCCTACCAAACATGTCTTTACAGATTCCTTCCTATCCCATGGTACAGCAGGAAAGGAGAGTGGCTCCATTAATGTAATCAATCCTTTGGCTAATGCGAGTTTGCAAAGTTCAAACATGAGAGCCAAAATGCATATTCAAACCATCACACACTCTAATCTAAGACACAGAAAGTGTTACATCATATGATATACATGGAAAACTAATGGCAGGCCTAAAAAAGAAACCAATTTGAGGAATATCAAAGACTGAGCCAAAGCAAATCATATCATAACTTTGTAAATTGATACGATTGATACTCTTTATTTATTATTTTCTGTAAACAGAGAGGATAAGATGGTGTGAGAAACTCAAAATCCAGATTACAAATTAGCCTAGTTCCTGAATCACTTCTAAAAGCCCCTGCCCATGGAATCACTAATTAGAATGACTCGCTGATATGGATACCAAGGGTATCTAGAGATTTTAATATTAAGTTGATTTAACTAAACAAAAAGACTGTTTATGACAACTATTAGGAAACCTAGTTAACTTAGGATTAATAAGCCTATAAAGGGCTTAGGTTCCACAAAAAATAAATAAAATATTTACAAAAATAAAGTTTTTCAGTTTTTGCATAAAGTTGTGTGAACTTGTGAGATGCATGTTCATGAGTGTAAGAGAGATTCTTATTCAACCAATTGGTAGAGCAAGCAATTTGGTTCTACAGCTTAGTCTATCTTAAGAAAGGAGAGACTAATTAATCTCATTCCCGAAAATGCATTCTGCGTTTACCATATTCCCAAAGTCATGATTTATTTTTTTTTAAAACAAAGGGGTATTAAGCTTGGAGCATTCAGCATTAATGATAGGAAGAAAAGGGGTAGTTATATTTCGTTAATAGATTGTAGATGACCCTTTTCTCTTTCCTCTTGGATAATATCTTTAAAGTTCAAGAATGTGTTTACTCTTTGTTATGAACTAGATTAACAAATGCAGAGAGTAAAAGAGAAAATGAAAAGAGAGGAAGATATTGTTAAATATCAGATATTCATTAACCCCTAGCTTTATATGTTGGAGTGATTGGGTCAATCCCACAAGAAAAAACATAAGCTAATGTTTCAGAATAACTTTCTGTTCACCATTCCCATTATTAATCATCACTTCCAGATTCCTTTTCTCTCAACAAATGACCTTCTTTACAAAATCCTCTTGGTGCTCCCTGCCCTCTACATCAAGCAACCTTAACAATATAATGCTGCAATTCCCACACTTTACCCCCCTGTTTACACCTAGCATAAATGAATTGTATAAAAAGCTTAGGCTGGTGCATAGCATTCATCATTGATTGTTTGGGCAAACATAGTATAGCATCCTTATAATAAATCGAGATTCTCCCATTTCGGCTGGTTGCATGATTTAGGAACAGCACCTTTGAATTTTTTTTTATCTTAAGAAAATTTGGGACTCGGTGATTAGAAGGTTATTAAGATGTTAAGACAGGTTGGAAGGCCTATTTTTCGAAGGGAGGATGATGAAAGAGTTAAACAGCCTTAGGGGGGGAGGGGGGGGGGGGGTGGGGGGCGCGGTTGTTTGTGTCAGTGTATTCATCCAAAGGTGAGGGAGAGAAGTGGCATGATTCTCATTGGTGTTGTTTGTTGGGCCTAATTTGTCATTTCATTTACCCTCCTTTCTTTTTCACTTTAGAGTCTTCTAGGTTGATCCCCTCCACTAGGTATTTCCATTCTCTTTCCCCACTTCATTAACCCTTCTCTCAAAGCCTATAGAACTCCAATATCAGCTGCCATTCTCCAAGCCTCCAGCCACCTTCTACATTGTCTCCCACATAGCCACCCTTTGCTTCCTCATCCTCTCTCCCTCGCATTCTTTCTCTCTTCTCCTTGGACCCTAACCACTCTGAAGCCTTCCACTGTCGCTCCTTGAAGCAATCCACCACCACCCACACAATCTCTCTCTCTCTCTCTCTCTCCTTTGCCTTCTATTTCATTCAAGAATCAATTTTTGTCGATTTTATTTATTTTTGCCCTACTTTCAATTAAATTAATTTTTATTTTCATATGAATTAATTAACTCATATGTACTCCCTCCCTTCTTTCAGGTTCTAGTGTTCAACACAGGAAATATTGAAAAAAGTAAGTGGGTGTTAGACAAAGTAAGAAAGAGAAAGTAAATAGGTGGTAAGTTAGACAAAGTAAATAGGTGGTAAGTTAGACAAAGTAAGAAAGACAAAGTAAAAAAAAAAAAAGGGAGAATAAAGTAAGAATTCGAGGGGTAAAAGGAATATGCCTAAAATAGAATAAAGCAAAACAAAAAAGAACGGAGGGGGTAAGTTGTTAATGTCTTGTATATTTTAACTTGTTAATTTGTATCTTGTTTATAATATGGCATGTATACTTATTTGAATACATTAAAAATATTAATATGTGTGCTTGAGTTAGTAATGTCCTTTGGATTTTCTAGTTATATATCATGATATGGTCTTGTTGTTAATCATAAATATCAATTAAAATTTATAGGTTGATTCCCTAATCCCTACTCTGAACCAAACAATCACAAAGAAAAACCAAAATCAAACGTCATTTACTTCCTTTCTCCATTCATCCCTTTTTAAATTCCAATCTATTTACCCTGCACAAACCAACCACCCCTCTGTGCTTTGGCTGTTATGGCATTTCCTATCCATGCCCATGGAAGATCATGTTGCAAGTAACCACTTTGTTCCTTCCCAATGTCAGGTTGTGGGTGGGTAATGGGGGCAGATGTGGGGTTTCAAATGGACTTTAAGGCCAAGAGAGCAACTTTTCTCCATTCTTTTTTCACAACTTCATCACTTATCTACCCCCTTACACAATGCTCATTTCCCAAAGGTTGAATTTGTTTTAGAGCCTTCAGTTTGGGAAAATCTAAACGACAATCCAGCTTCATTAGGAAACAATATTAAAGTTTTGTAAACACAACTTTAAAAAGCTCGCACTGTATGCTCGCAAGTAATACGAATAAGTTCACACAGGAAGATATTAGTCTGAAACCCTATAAAATAAAAATAAAATAAAAATTCCCGCAAGAATAGCACATCAAAAATGGCTTTTCCTAATATACCACTCACCTGGACATCAGACACAGGAGATATTTCTTTCACCTCATGTACAACCATAGATTTTTCTGCCACTGCTGCCTACATTCAATAAGAAGAAGGTTCAGAAACAAAAAGAAACAGTGGAAATTCTAACAACAAAAGCAGCCAGCATAATTGATCATTAGCACAGACTATAAAAAAAAAAAAAGCTAAGCAAAAAGCTTCATAAAAACAGTAACGAATTGTTCAGACCATATAGGTAGCAGACAGCAATAAAATTAATGCATACAAAAAAATGCTTCCAGTGGGATATAGCAGATTTATGGGATTGAGGAGAATAAAGGGATTTAGTGTTGTATTGCTAGCTAAGCACAAGAGAAAAACTCGATGCCAGAGCCAATCTACTGATTTGGCATCCCTTTATCTATACCCAAAATTGCCAACTACTAGCCTCCTCCACTGCCAATCAACATCACCAACCCAAATTCAAACCAGTCTATATATAAATAAGAATTTGTTGGGTTTTAAGGAAATCTCCTAATCAATATCACTAAGTTTGTGTCGCCTATTTTAAACTCAAATTCCTAATCAAAAAACCCAAAATAGCTTGTTATTTGTTAAGGTTGCCTGGTGAATCTACTACGAAGTAGTGAGAGTGTGAGACCCTTAAAAGTTCAAGCACCGTATCAGCTTTGTAGAGAAAGGCACTAAAGGTGGTTCCATTATGCAAAAATAACTGCATGCACTGTGAAGAAACAATCCAGAAACAAGTTTAGAACTCCTTAAAATCAAAGTGACAAAGCCTTTGCCTTTTGGAAAATATGTATTGTCAATGATCTTGTGAGATGCTTTGGTTCCTTATGTCACAAACAAATTATGGCAAAACAATATCAAGAAAAAGGAACACTAAAGCTAGCATCAATTAATATAGTTTAGAACTAGAGGGTCAATGTCACAAACATTTGTACCCATGCATATAAATTGCATCCAATTGAAGCAACTTCACAGAAATTATATTAAAAAAAAAAAAAAAAAAGAAGCAAGGCCAGTAACACATTGTCGCCAACCAATTAGAGCATTTACCCAAACAAAAAGCACTGTCTTAGACAGGGCATCCAACAAGAACACGGATATTACCAGATTACAAGGGTAACATGGAGACAAAAGTTAAGGAAGATATAATTTCATGAAAAACCGAGTCAAAGAAATTGTACATATTCCACAAAAATGGGATAAGATATCTTACTTGAAAGCTCTTGAGTTGTTGGGCTTCTTCATCAGCTAGCAGTCGTTCATATTCTTTTCGAGACTACAAGAACATCAAAATAGCTTAATATCAATTAAACTGACAGCTTGGCAATAAAAGGAAAATAATTCAGAACAATTTGTTTAATTGGCAATTTTTATCAAATAAAAGCATTGAAACACTATGGGCAGAGAGAGCTATGTCTATAATAGTTCATGCCCTTAAGGTAGACTTTCCAGCTTCACCACCACTCCAGCAATTGACGACATCCATAGCTTCCTAAGGATTAGACTAGAATCCAATTGCTAAGGCAACCGTCTTGTGAACCTACCCAAAAGTCCAAGAAGAGCAAAAACTCCATCCTAAAATATATGAACTTTTTTCTAGGTTCAAGCAAAACAGAGTGACTGTCCTAAAGCATGTCAGAGTCTCAGATCCCACATTAGGATAAGCCCAGATCCAACGGCATTCCTCAAAAAGATTTTTCGTGCATATATGGAATGAAGTCTGCTCCATCTGAATTCTTAGTTGTTTCTTTTCATAATATGCTCAACCAACAATTTTATTGATAACTAAGTGAGGAAGACAGTTTAGAATCACAAGGGGTCAGTTAAATAATTTTAGGGTATTCACATAAAATATGGTGTAATTTTTAGTACTATTAAAAATACTACGTAAATAAAATAAAAGCAGCAACAACAGAATGATGTTGTAATTGACAAGTTTATAAAACCACATATATTGCCTTATAAAAATCATATATGGATTGACCAAACAAAAAGTACTTCCAGTGCTCTTGCTCAATGGTGTTATTCTTTTCACCTCACAAACTTTCTACTGTAGCTACCATGCCTACCAATGTCTTTTATACTATTTTTATGGGGACAACAAAAAATGTATAAAAGATGTCTTCCCAGGCTCCCAGCATAGACATCTAAAGCTAAGAAATTAAGATGATACATGAATAAAAAATCTCACCGTCTCCAATTTATCAAGGAACTCGGTCTCATCTTCGTCCAAAGCCTTTGGTGGTCCTGCAACAAAACAAATGTCAAAGTGCCTGGCTTGTTCATGCAAACACAGAGAAAGAGGAAGTAAATCAAGGCACATACGATGCTTAAACCGCTCATTGAATTCTGCATCTTGCTTATCTTTATTCTCCTTCAAAATCTACAAAGAAAATACTTTTGATAAGAAAATTTATAGGAAAGACTCCAGGAGGATAGCATAAAAAAGAAGGGCTAGGTACCTAACATGGAAAAGCCTTGAAGGATAGTGGGCATACTCCGCAAACGGAAGCAATAGGATTATAGTTACCTAAAGGCAAATCAATCCTACTCGTATATTACTGGTCAGAGTACTCCTAAGCAGCAGATTCAGGGTAAAAAAACTTCTAGACCAAGTTCAGTGCAGCCAAACAAGCAATGTGTAGCAGAGGAATCCACCTTATGTAATTAATTGCTAGAGTAGGAAGCTTTCTAACAACATAAAACAGTCACGACATTATATTACAATAATTAGATATATTTTGTAATGACTAACTCTTGTAATGATTTCCTATTGGTTAGTTAGTTAGATTCTAGCTTCCTGCTTTCCAAAAAAAAAAAGATTAGAGTTTCCTATAGGTTAGGACATCTCAAATGTTGTGATAGTCTAAAAAGGATTAATTCATTCAGTTTGTATCAAACGATTCTCCAAAAAAGAATTTTTAGTCCTAAAGCTCTAGAGTTGGCAAAGGCTCGTCAATATAGGATAGAAAGATTAAACACTGGTGTTCTATTGATTCTTTCGATATTGTAGCAAATAAGTGTACATCATAAAGTCAAGGAATAACAAGAGATTTTCCAAAAGAAGCAATCATATTAGATACTATGAAGTGAGAAACAAAAAGAAAGCGGAAAATGCAAAACCTCGAAGAGCGGACGATCTCTTTGTGCAGTCCCGTCATCCACTCTTTCACCCCGACTACTCTTTGCTATATCTAACTGCCAATCACAACACAAGCAATTAAAGATACAGCAACCAAACACAGCCACTGCAATCATCAGTCAATCAATATACTTCCAGATTAATGTCTTCATATGTACTTTAAAATGTGAAAACAAAATCCATAAAAAATTATAATATACTACTATTTAATCGAAAATTTCATAATTACAATACGAAGTAATAAAATAAATAAAATAAAAGCTAGGGTTTGAAATTCGACCTCTTCTTGGGACACGAAATTCATCAACCTTATGGGAGGAGGTGTGTCCTCAGCCATTTCTGATATTTTATTTTGTCAAGTAACTTCAAATTGACTAGTGCTTCCAATTCAGTCAGCCTAAAACAATCTTCCTTACAGCCAATAGAAAATGTGGCCGCAACTATGCAACCAACCAAACCAAACTTGACGCCCTGGTTTAGGAAATAGCAATAAAAGTTATAATAACAATAAAATAAAAAGAAAATTAGGCAGAACCCCCCTTAAAAATAGGACAACCCAATTAGGGACTAATTACAGCTTTATTACTTTATATAACCATTTCCAAACAACCATCCATGATCATAACAATGATCCCAAACATTAATCTAGGGCATTACCGCCACACCTACTTGAAGAGTTAGTCCTAAGGTCAAAACTAAAATTAACCTGCCACAACATGACAACAATAAACCTCAACGCCTCATATTTTCCCAATATCTACTAAGGAGTTTGCTATGTCATAATCTACAATGATCTACTTAATACATAAGTTTTTCTTCATAAAACCCATATAGAATCGTAATACAAGTATAAATTATTACTCCATGGTTTTCTTCTTTAGACTTAAGCCATTGCCGAAAAAGACTTTACATAGTAAGACTAGTTTTAAAACCGTGCATAAAGTCAAGTAAGCAAGGTTCTTAAATTCTTCATACAATGAAATCATCACCTAAAATTGTTTTCTAAAGCTTCCAATTTGTGAAATCCAGCATATAAATAAACCAGTTATTTATACTACATGAAAGTTCAAACTAATCTAATCTTATGCCAAGACTAAAGATATTAAAGTAGCTAATATATAAGCAAGTTAAAAATCATTTCATACTTGTAATAAAAAACAAAAACTTACACTGATTACAAATTTTACAATACTATAGGTTTCAATAATCAAACCGAAAACAACCGAATTTATATTAATAAACTACAAAATGTAAGCAGTGAAACATAACACAACTAATATACCTCAAAAGAGTGCAATTTCAAAATTGAAATCAACTCTAATTCATGATACTAAAAACAAATATCATAATTAATAATCTGTTTACTTGCTTAGCAAACTTATATAAGTAAAATTAAAATACATAAGTAAAGTTTTATAATTAGGGTTTAATAGGAAGGCTAATCTATCAAGGGGAAGATGGAGTCGGCGGCGAACTGACGGCGGCGGGAGCAGTTTTTTTTAAATGAAGGCTAATTAAAGCGAGGCGGAGGGAAGAGGAAGAACAGCATTTACCTGGTGGCTGAGTGCTGGTCGACGGTTGTATGACTAATGACAGACTTCGGGTTTTTAAAAGGCCGTCCCCGTTTCTCATATTGATAAACAAAGCTCCTTAATCAAAGGATTAAAATTGTAATATTAGAGGCTAAATCACTAATTGAAATAGTGGTTTTACCCTTAAATTGCTATCTCAATTTTCAAGTAGTGGTTATATCAAAAAGAGTTACATTTATTTACAACTTTGTCATTTGAGTTATGTACAAATTATTTCCTTTACTTTACTTTCTCTGTCCTAGGATATTTGTCATATATAAACTTTGCACACATGTCGATGCACTAGTTTGATTATATTTTTATATAATTAAATATCAATGAAAATTAAAAAAAAAAAGTTATATTAAGAAACTTTAGATTAATACTATCTAACAATATAGATTTTTATGATAAAATATGTTTTTATTATGTTAGTATTAACTATAGTTAAAGTTAATATATGAAATAGTGAAAAAAAAAAAAATCCAATGTATTTTTTTTTAAAACTGATATAGTATTATCTGCAACTTCTACTAAATATGGATGCTTCCTATTATGAGCAACCTTTCCAAAAAAAATTCATTTTAGTAATTTTTTAAAAATAATATCTCCAAAATGTCCTTACTTTAAACTTCTTAATTTAAATTACAACTCTAAATTAAAATTTAACGAAACTAATAATACCAACCCAAATTAATTCACCCCCAAAATAATTCATCTAATCTAATCCTTCTACCCTACCACTTCCCAAATCAATTCACCAAATCAATAACCCTAATCCATCTTCATCTTCATCTTTCCCCATATCTTTTTCTCTCCTCTTTTAGATTTGCTTACTCTCTCCCTCCACCACCTCGTTCGGATCTAAGCGACTATAATCAAAACCACTCAATTTGGTGTCAACTCCAACTAGCACTAGCAGCAATGTCGTGGCTATGGTGGTTTACGGGAAGAAAGGCAGCAACACACCTGGTGTTTTTAAAGGTTTCATGGTAATGATTTCATGGGTTTTCATGTGATAAACATGCGAATATATATAAGAAGATCTCCTAAGCTTGCTGTGATAAACTTGGTCTAAAGAAAGGACCTTGGACTCCCGAAGTTTCTTGCTTACATTGAAAAACATGGTCATTGAAATTTCCATGTTTTATCGTTGGTCATGGCATGGCCATGATCGTGGTTGGAAAAGGAGGGGAAGAGAAAAGAAGGAAGGGAAAATGTGACTTTCCATTATCTTATTAAAATTTAAAAGGGGGAGGAAAGTGGAATCTTCCCCTTCCCTCCTCTTCCCTCCTTGCATTAGATATTCAAATAAAAGGATAATGTATTCGATCCCTCCTTTCTTCTTCTCTTCCTTTCCTCCATTTCTCTTTATCCAAACATAATGTTAGACTAAGTGATCTTCTACGGTTTTTCTTTAGATTGTAAGGGAACTAAGATGACTTCTTAGCTTCTTCCGTCTTCTTCTTTCTTTTTTATCTTCTTGTGAGATTGATGATGGTTCCTTTCAAATCTTTCCATCCTCTTCCTCTCTCTAGACCTAAACCTCCTTCTCCTTTTTACTTTCATAGCTCGCTCCTCGTAGCTTCAATCCAACATATGAGGGAGGAATTCCTCCAAACAACAAAGATAAGGGAAACCAACACAAGAAGATAATATAATAAAAATATACAAATAAGCAGGAAAGTGGGGGTAGTACTATAATTTCATGAGTTAGTCAATAGAGTTGGGCTAACATTGTTAATTGAAGGTAAAGACTAAAGATGTGAATTTGAAGAATAATCAATTCTACAACAATGGAGGTTGTAGAAAGCGATGGAGGTCGAGAAAACACCTACTCTCTAGAGGTTAACCATGCCCTTAATCCTATATTTTTATTAGAGTTTTTCTTTAAATTTGGTGGTGAAGCCGCCAAAAAAGGTGGTGTTGGGGTTGGGGTTTGTCGTGGTGTTGGACATGGTTTTTGTTGAGTTGTTGGGCTCGTCCGCCATTGTTGATGATAAAGGAAGAATGAGAAGGGAGGAAGAAGAAAAGATGTAGAAGAAGACGGAAGCTCACGCCAAAAAAAAAAGCATTAAATGTCTTTGTGTGTCAGCAACCAAAAGAATGATAAAATATTGAAAATTTTCCTACCATTTACAACTTTTGCCGCTAGATGCCACTAGAGAAACACTTAACGTTTCTCAATATGAGAATTTGGGGCTTACCCAATACAACTTAAAATGAGATAATTTATAGAATTCCTAATGCTAAATGAGTATAAAGCTCACTTATCTCATTCTACAATCAAAAGAAATGTTAATCATGGTTTTTTTTTTCTCCCTACAATCAAAAGAAATGTTTAGGGTAAAAATACCCTTGACGCGTGGGCCAATCAGAGTCTGCCATGTGTCACCAGAGGAGAGCCCAAAGTGGACCTATCAGGGATCGACACGTGGCAGGCAGATATTTAAAAGGGTTATGCGGCCTTCAAAGCCCAAATCCCTAGGCAGCCTGTTAGTCAAAGGTTTCCGTAACCTAGGATGGGCACGAATCCCAAGTCCCTATAAATAGGGAGATATTCCCACCTCAGGGGACAGATTGAATTCACACATTCAATTCAGAAAAAGAGAGAAAGCACTTAGATATTGAGGCAGTCAATCTGCCGGATAACCCATTCTCACCATAGAGAAGCCCGATCCCGGAATCCGAGAGGATCCTCCCTTATTTTCCGCACTTTTTACATACTCCATACACGTTCTAACTTGATCGTCGGAGGCGGAACTCCACCCAACCGGAGTCTCCGTTGTTTTGCAGGTACAGGCGTCCGAAATCCAGTCTTGGTGTTGTAACACTCCCGAAAGACACAGAAAACCCCGAAACATTTGGCGCCGTCTGTGGGGAGAGTACTACTAAGGTGGCTTCATGACAGTCTGTACCGCCTGCTAATGAGAAACGGCCTACGGTCGAAGTCAAGGACCGAGCTCCCCATCCTAAAACAAAGGAAGGGAACCGGCCCTTGATTGTTCATTCGAAGATTCGTTTCCTCAAGACGGGGAAGAGGAAGGCCACCCGGCATGTTCGGGCGGATGGTTACCCAGGTAGTTTTCAGAATACCTCAATGAGGTATTCCCAATCTAACCGAGAGAGTCAGTCAGGCGGCTTGTCCGTCCACACTGGCCCTCAGATAATCCATTCGGCTCCGTATGTGCTTCAACAGCCATACATGCCATATAGACAACCGTACATGCAGCCGGCCCTCTTTGGGGGTCAGGCAACACATAACGTCCAACCTTTGGACTGGGAGCTCCATCTGCTAAAACTTGGGGAACAACCTTCTGTGTTCTCAAGGAAATAACCTTCTGCGGACGGTATTATCCTATCATCTTGGTGCTAAAGAGTTAGACGGCCAAGTACTACAGGCGTCTTGAGGCCAACTGTCAAGCACATCAGGTGTCATAAAGCCAAATGTCAAGTACTACAAGCGTCATGAGGACGAATGTCAAGAGTCAGACGGTCAAGAAAATTATTTGACCAGGGCTGCTTGGTACCCATTGTCGTCCAACAACTCTTTTGTAATCATAAGACAAAAGCGGCTCTTAAAAAGCCAAGAAGTCGAGATGTGAGCAAGGCACCAGACCATGGTGCCGAGTGTGATGCCGAGAGCTTGCTTACCGTGTGAGCATGGTTGGACAACTGCCTGGTCAAAAGGCTGTCTGAGTATGTTTTTCAAGAGCAATCAGCATGCCCTCAACCCCGCAATCACAAGCGGCAACTATGTGCCGAGGTCGATATGAGAAATTGAATGCCCTTCGCTGCCGCTTGACTATATACCGAGTGGCAAAATATACTGAGATCCTCCATGGCGGTCTTAGTAGCTCGGCAAAAAATTATTGTGCTGCACTTCCTTGGCTTGATTGTCAAGCTGGCTAGGATGCTTGAATTCATACATGGATACACTCAAATGGCATGAAAGCCGAGAGAAATTGGCAAACTTTCCCTCACAAGCATTGTTGGTCGGTGCAAGTGACGAACTTCATGTGAGGGAAACTTTAACCCCTCACATATAAACGACATTTAAGGCGGTGTAAGGATGCCGATCAATAAAAGAGTTTACACTTAAACGGCATAATGCGCCGAGAGCTGCTATGGTTGTACATTTAGAGTAAAAATTTAACAGCCTCTTGTACATGGGAAGATATATTCGGCACTCTAAAGTCATTACAACCGTATGGTTTCCTTGAAAGAGTTCGAGTTTTCAGCCAAGGGGACTTGCATATGACCGCCTGATCAGCCCTTAATACCGAGTTCCTTCTATACCTTAGCATGGTTAGCATGAATAATCAATCGGCATGAATGTCATACGCTTAGCCAGGCAGCACCATTGATGAGCTCTGTTGAAATCAGTGAGTTAGCCAGGCGGCACCAGGTGTATGAGACATACGGCTACTTCCACTCCAAAGTTGTTGACAGCTAGCTATCTTGCAGACAAACGCATAAGCGGCATTAATGCAATGGTCAGGTGGTTTTGCTTCGTCTAATGAGCTAGTCGACACTATAATTTGCATGGGAACATAAAGGTGCCGCATGAGTGCAAGCCCAAGCAAGCACTATATATCCCGGATACAAGCTTGGAACCATGATAAGGCTCGGCAGTCAAGACCGTCTAACAACCAGCTAACAGCTCAACTTGAGTAGACGACATTTATGACTAGTCGGCAGCCGAGCATGGTAGCTTGAAGCAGGGCACCGTATGTAAAGTTTCTAGATTGTCATCTCTTGCTTGGGAATAACATATATAGGCGGCAACTCTTGCATTGATGGCCGCCTGATTAAAGGCTAAAGGTTAGCCCAAAAGTCGCCTGTTGAGTTGAACACCCAACTATGCTAATTCTACTTGACCTGAATGTACACAACCGTCAATAACGCTACACAAGCGACCTTGACCTGAATGCATACAGCCGTCAATAATGCCACTCAAGCGGCCTTGACCTGAATGCATACAGCCGGTCAATATGCTACTCAAGTGGCATTATACATGAGCGACTCTTAGCTTAAAAGCCGAAAGGTCGAGTTGCGAGTAAAGCATCCAGCCAAGGTGCCAATTATCATGCCAAGAGCTCAC